CTATAAATCTCTATCTACCTATCTATCTATCTATCTATCTATCTATCTATCTATCTATCTATCTATCTATCTATCTATCTATCTATCTCTCTCTCTCTCTTCTCTCCCCTTGATTCTCTTTTCTCTCCTCCTTTCCCAAACTTTTCGTCTCCAGTGATGCGATATCCTCGTGCAATATGTTTTGTCATGGTGCTCAAGCCAACAGCATTGGATTACATTAAAAACGCCCTTTTCATTCATTCAGTTCTTTCTTCGTTCATACTTTCGCCCATCCATTTGTTCATGCCTTCACCCTTTTATGCAACAATTTATACACGCACCCGTCATCCATACAATTAAAACTTATTCATTCCTTCATTCACTCATCCACCCACTCGTCATTCGTTCTGTCGTTTACCTTGTCCAATTCCTCTTTAATGCAAAGTCCCGTACCATCGGCCCATAGCAGACATACCATCTGAGGAGATAATAATACAGCTGTCTCTCAGACATTGATGTCTATCCTCAGGCCTACAGAAATTGCCCCTAACACCCTCTCGTCTCTGTAACACGGCACAAGTGTTTACATAATGCCCATAGGACGTCCTATCGACTCGTGCGTTTTCGACTCGATTAGAATGGGGTGGACACGTGCCTAAATAGTCGAATCTACTTCATCGAGCCAGGGAAATACCAGGCGAAACGATTTAACTTGACTCAGCGAAATAGAAAGGAGCTTCTGTCTTAAATTATGCCTTGGTTTAACTCCCACGTTGTCGGCCGATCATCACGCATTCTATCTCATCATGTCCTCAAGTCTATTACCTTTCAGTGTCTATTAACAAAGGCGAAAGACGATCATGGTTTATCTAACACTCCATTGCTAAAACGAATAAAGATTCCAGTGCTTCAAACGTTTGCTGACCCAACGAACAACCTTTGACACTCAGTCCAAGAAAGATAGTTATTATGCTCAGTTATTTCCTATGAGCGACATCTAGTAGACAATGAAAAACATTTTCGACAGGACCCAAAGATTAACCATTTTACCCATTCTTTACAGAAATCGACAAGATCACTGAAAAAATCTTGCTAGAATTAGTATAGTCATTATAGAAATTCTCCAAAGCTAGCCAAGTGTACCCATGTAATTATTTAAGTACAATATATCCGACTGATCCAGACGCCACAGAATATTTTTCAAAAGCCGGCCTTTTTAGTCTACATCGTTGTACAAATTCCATAGAACAACAGAGTGATCGGATAAATGGGTACCCCGAATAGTGCACCCCGACATGGAGAAAGGAATTTCTATCGTTGGTTTCCTCCGGGTGAGAGACAGGTGATGAGGCATTCTTCGAAAGCCTTGACAGGTTGCAATTAGTGTCTACTGTCGACAGAGAGCTGCTCATCGCGCCAAAAAAGGCTGGTGAAGGACTGGTCACTGACTCCTTGGTCCTCGTTGCAAAGCCTGACCTCACAGCGATAAAAAAAAAGTCGGTCCCATATAAGGTACAGGGAAAGGGGGACGAAGATCCATGTAGTCCTAAGGTCAAGAGAGATTTGAGATGTGGTAGAATTGGGTTCAACTACAGATTAGTTGGGGGGGGGGTTGTTTTTGTTTTTTTAACAAATGATCATAAGCTAATGGCGTTGTTATTGTGAGGATGACCCTTGTGACTTCTGGAAATGTTATACGCCCCCCCCCCCCCCAAATCCCTTTCCCGACTTACTAAAATAAATAGATTTTAATGCAGGGCGGAATGTTTTCTTTGGCCTAGTTAGGGCTGACCTGGACGGAGTGGAATAATATATACTACCTCGAGAGAAAAATGGAGATAATGAATCAACATAATAGATTCCACACACGAGAATCAAATCCAGGTTTTCCACATACTAAGATTAAGGAGGCCCTAACCATTTCCTTAGGGACACCGGTCTAACCTCTGTTGTTATGCATTCATTTACATATTTGGTCAACGCTCCTTTTTTTAATCGGGTGGGGGGGGTGGGGTCGCTCCTAAAGAAGTCAGAATTTTTCTCGTTAGTTTAGCTTATCATGTTTGGAATGTTTTCCTTGCAGCCTGGTGGCCCCATATAAAAACTATTGAAAGCGTCCGGTAATTGTACAACAAGCGTCTTTGATCATTATCTAATTCGATGTTATGGGTTTGGAAATAACTGACCTTTAGACTTACACTGGTGTCGTGACTAATTCTCGCCTCTTTCATTGCGATCGTTGTCTGAGGCTGGGACAGTATGACCTCTCTTGCGGGGACTTCACGAATGAACATCGACCTAAACGGAACACAGAATCAGTAGGGCATCTGACCTACTCTGCACAACTATTAGCCATTAAACTCCTACATAGACTGCTGGCACAAATTAATGCCTCCCCCCCCCCCCTTTTCGACAATCAGCATAAATTAGAGCGTCCCTTCATACACACACACACAACTACCAACAAAGTAAAAACGCTCCCAGCGATGAGCTCCTTCTCGATTAATGAAATAACATTCAGGGTGTTTAAAATTGTGGCGTCGGTGGCCTAGTGGTCTGGCTACCGGACTCGTAATCGTGAGGTTGCGGGTTCGGGGGTTCGAGCCGCGGGCCCGACGTTGGGTCCTTGGGAACGGCACTTTACACGAATTTTCCCCACTTCACCCAGGTGAAAATGGGTACCCAGCTATAGACAGTGAAAGATCTTGTCAGTTTGTTAGTGTTTGAGCGCTTAAACAGCTGCTTGCACTGTATGCTTCCCGGGAAGCTGAGAATGTTTCTGAGTGTTCTAGGGTCTGCGGCGGTAATAATATGTGTAAAGCGCATAGAGCTTGCTTTCGGGTGGGAGCATGCGATATACAAATTCAATTTATTATTATTAAAATATTCCATTGCCTCCGGCGTGGCACTTTGTTCTGAAAATGAAGCGTTATCGAGCTTAATAGAATACCATTCCATTTGTGTATCATGAACACAAGATTATTCGCATAGTTTTTCTAAGTCTTTTCGCTGCCTGACATTTGCTTGGAGCACAATGGTCAACAAACGACTGACAAATTAAGTACACGTAATGTGCCTTCCCTTTTTTTCTCAAAACAAGACCAAGCACTCTGGGTAAAGCAAACTCAGACCACCCTTTCGGAACGTATTTGACCAAATATACACATCAGGGGTCTACACCCTCCTGTGGGTCACATTTTTGGCCGCCATGATGTCATGAGGATAAGACACTTTAACGAACGAGGTCTAAATTAATCCTCACCTCAACAGCAGAGACATTTCGCTACCTTAGAATTACTAAGTTCAATCTGACATTTTTGGCCGTTTTGAGTTTCAAAGACTATGAGCTCTATCAAAATCGTAAGATTATTCGGAGCCGTTAACAAGATCTTCAAAGCATAACTTCTGAAAGAGCTTGACATGTGACGCTGAACATTTTAAAGTCAAATTTTCAAAACTAGGTACCGTACTGAGCAGATCGAACTTTGTAAATCTAGGGTAGCAATTTCTTAACTCACAAGTCATAGCAATTATATTCTGAATACAGCAAAGGGCTTATATAGAAACATTTAACACAATATATAATATGTATCTAACTGCACAAAGACAGAAACGTAAAAAAAATGTGGAAGAGAAAGGTCTTTACCCGTAGTTTGTCCTTACTTGCGGACGATCGAGCAATTCCTGGCTTGTAATCAAGGCGGGCGGCCACCAAGCTTGGGTATGCAGAGAATCTTGACACCGGCAGCGCAAGAGATCACCCAGACATATCATTATGGGGGAGCACCAGGTCAACTGGACGCTCGGGTGTGCACTTGGATATGAGATCCACACGTGGTAGTAATTCGGGCGTTGAAACGACCAGAGGGTCGGAATTTTTCTCTTCCGCCTTGGAATAGAATAGTTGTCCTTCCTCTCAGCTTGGGGCCCCAAAAATAAATTGAAGTGACCCCGTCTCTCTCTCTCTCTCTCTCTCTCTCTCTCTCTCTCTCTCTCTCTCTCTCTCTCTCTCTCTCTCTCTCTCTCTCTCTCTCTCTCTCTCTCTCTCTGAGAGAGAGAGAGAGAGAGAGAGAGAGAGAGAGAGAGAGAGAGAGAGACAGAGAGAGAGAGAGAGAGAGAGAGAGAGAGAGAGAGAGAGAGAGAGAGAGAGAGAGAGAGAGAGAGAGAGAGAGAGAGAGACACACACACACACACTGTAGCGTGTACAGTACATGCGCTCAAATTCAAACTCACAAACTGTGTGCCAGTTTCTTAGCTGATGTAAGCTATATCTTAAGAGGGACGTTCTCCAAAAGTACAAGTTCAACTAGCCATAATGGCATCAGCTCTGACAATCAAGTTAGTCTGAGCACGAATTATGTCAAACGTCAAATGATGGAGTTGACTTTGAGGTCTGATGCAGTAACGAAACTGCAACAACCCCTGTATGACTTGCGCCTTTGGTTTTTTGTGGTTTTTGGATTGGTTGGGTTTTTTTCGGGGAGGGGGGAGTTGTTTGTTTGTTTGTTTGTTTGTTTGTTGCTTTTTACAGTTTTTATTTTTACCTTGTCTCTTTCGCTATCATGATACTACATCATGACAAATAGCAGAGGCAAAAGCTGTTCGCTGTGTGTGTTTTTTCTAAGAACCCTTTGTTGAAAGGAACAAAAGTTTAAATGGTTGAGGAGTTCAATATATATTACAATTACGTAGGGGAGGTTCCAGCTTTATTTATCTGACGCCTATTTCATACCAAATGCGACAACCCTTTCCGATGATGCTAATTGGATGCAGCATAAACCGATAAAATAGAACGTTCGTGAAAGTCGAAACGAACTAAATCAAAGCGGTGGATATTTAGAAATATATGGATAAAAAATGTCTCCCTCTTTTTACAAATTCTGCCTAACTGGAAAAGAGTCCCCTCCCCCCCCACCCCCCCCCCCCCACCCCCATCCTTACTAACAGAAAAAGCCTATGCGATATTTTCACAATCATAAATAAAAATGTATGTTTGTTTCGTATTTTATGTGTATTTCCAGCTGTGAAGACGAGCCGAAACCAAGGTATCCTCAACAGCTACTGGGGTCTGGCGTCTCCAGGCCAGTACTACGGGGCTGGCTCTCGATTCTCGTATGACAGAAATTCCGGTTCCTGCAAAGGTTCCTGTATCTTCTCCGAAGGCCCAACGACAGAGAAAATCGTCGTCCAGGTAGGAGATTACATAAGTTTTCTTTCTCCTTAATCTTTGAGTTAGCTAGATTATTAGTACCGCACTGGATTGGGATGCGAACGACCATGGTTCGAATCCCCATGGGGACATTCTTGACCTTTGGTTTCCTGCACGATGATCGGAAAAAGAACATGAGAATGTTCAGTGGCAGTAAAAAAAAAAAGTTAAATGGTCACAGAAATGAAAGCACATGTAGTTACGAAACATCCCAATAAAAACGAATGCGATTAAAGACAACGTTGCTATGTTTGTGTTTCTGCCACACATTAGAGAGCAACGCTAATAATTCCCCAATTCAGTTGCTTGAATTCGGAGAAGATGTTGTAGTCATGGCTGTAGAGCAATTTTCTCACGGATCAGTATGTTAGCATGAGTTATTTCCTTTAAAGCTGTTCTATCTCGAAAAGCTAACAGCCCCTTCTGTTTTTTTGTTACGATTCTGTGGCCAGACACTGTAAAAGCATCCTGTTCAAGGGAATGCCACCTCTCACAATAGCCGAAGATTTATTATATTATTATTTGAGGGGTTGGTTCTTACCCATTTCAACACAGAGGTTATTGTAAAAATAAATCAACGCCCACCTTCTATAACAGCCAGCCTTAAAGGTGGGAGGCCTTGAAAAGTCCCTAGACAATCAAAGTACAATAATATTATTCTTTTGGTGATTCAAATCAGGGTTGACCTCTCTACTATCCATTATAGCTCCAAGGGAGTGAACTGGTGAGAGGTAGAGTTTGATATGAACAGCGGTAGTTATTGAATGCTGAGAAGGAATATTGACAAAACGAACTGAAAGATTTGTAAAAAAGAAGAAATACCCGAAAAGCCTTCAAACCATATACTCTGATCCTGAGAATGCTCCCAACTTTGAGCGTTATTATAATGTTACCTCTGTTAGAGAAAAAAAATTAGAATTTAAGTTTTTACGATCAAGAGAGCTTATAACTTTTTAAAGTACGGCAGCAAGAGGAAAAAAAGAACGGGGAAATTGTTATGGGGCACAAGGTACAGCTGAAGAGAAAATTTTTGTTTGGGCTCTAAATTAAGTATACTTGGATTCCCAATAAGCAATATGGGTCTAGAAACAGAAACACACTATCCCTATATGATTTGAATGTCAATTTTTTTAAATTCTTTAGTTGCAAAGGGTTCGACAGACCAAAATTCGCGCAAATTCTATGCAAAGGTTGAATTGATACAGCCTTGATATTTTGACACAATGTTTCTGAATATAAAGCCAACAATGTACTAAAGATTTACTTTCCTAAGTCTCATAATTCTCTTGTAACTGCCCTTTTAGTGTAATATACGATACTCGGACAAACAATTGATCACAAATCAGAGTGATACTGGCAATCTTGTTTGCACTGACAGAAAACTTATTACAATATCACAATAATCTTTTAGTACGTTGCAAACATATTATCTAGAAACGGTCATGCAAAGTGGGATTGAGCTGTGACATGTGCTTTCAGAAATATCTCTGCAAAGGTGACCCACCCCCTAAGAAAATAACAGTTTTGGGAAAACTGAAAAAAACCCACGAATTCATAGTGGTCTATTTCAACACAATGTTCAAGAACATGGCATGTGTGAGCACTTTATAGATGTTTTAGACACTTGAAAATATTTCCAATCGATATAGCAGATGTTGCTCTACTAAAATAGTCCAAAATCCAAAAATCGAAATCGGTTTTGGATACCAAAATCGACTTTTTCTGGCTGTTGGCTACTGCCGTGGTGTACTTATTTATTATGATTTTCTTCACAACAATTTTGATTTCATTCACGCTTCCTTTTTATTTTCCAGATTTTGTACTACGACAAGAACCCAGGCATAGCCTATGAATTCATTTTACCTAACCACGTTCCGTTTACGCCTTTTGATGGGACATATTCAAAGCAAAACGCACCAGCACCATTGAAAACTGCGTCGTCTTCGTCATCTGTGTCATCGCCAAAGTCTTCTGCGCCCTTGACGTCTTCCTCCTCGAGATCTTCCTCGTCGTCTTCGTCGTCTTCTTCGGCTTCCACTCCCCAGCATCATCGTCGCCATGGTTCTCAGCGCCGTTATAATCGCCACTACCGAAACAGGCCACGTACCATCAGGAGGGAGGAGAAGTTTGAAGGCGAGCACTACACAGGCTCACAGGTTGGTTATTTAATTTCATTTCATTTCATGTCATACATCTCTCTCTCTCTCTCTCTCTCTCTCTCTCTCTCTCTCTCTCTCTCTCTC